GACACGCTGATGGGTACGGTCTTACACGGAAGATCTTTTTACTTGATTTTGCGGTTGTCGATACAACTATTTCGATACAACTATATTTATGTCAACTCGATATGGTGTGGTGATAGAATGTTACAAATGCCTCGTGCATTTGCCACAAGTTACTCGCTTTACTCTTGGCGGTTCAGAAGCATGCGAAATTGGCAATGCAAATTAACGCAACCTAAATCTGTTTCGTGTTGGCTACTTAATGCGTCCTGCACTCATTCATTTGACATTTTTCACTTTGCCTATCTTTTGACGACACTTTTTCCCTTTATGAAATTCCATTTTATCTATGGATGGCTAATTTCGAGAACTGCTTTTGACACACATTTTATGGTCACGAAATAGCTGTGGCCTGGCAAAATCCCATGCTTCTCTTATTACTTTCCAACATTTTTCAAACATCCTCATTTGATAACAAATTATGCTGAACTGTAGGGATGTCTTATTTTTGGCTGCTTCCGGTGTTGGGGAAGGTATTCTTCCATGTCAATTACAGTAGGCAATAGATTGGACTCAAATTGAGCGATATCAAGTGTGCATTCTTTCGAATCATATGCTGTTCTTCTCCCTGCCTACGCAGAGGACGTGCAAGGGAGAAGGCACCAGATCCACAAAACCTTGAGGAGCGGTTCTACAAGTGGGGCGTTCGTCCCGAATGGCTTCAGCCTCAACGCATCATCGATAGCCGGGTGACACGTCAGAAAGAATGGTTCCTAGTGAAGTGGCGTGACCTGCCCTACGACGAGTGTACGTGGGAGGATGCAGTAATCATCGAAGTCCCTGAGTTTGAGCGCTTTGTAGAGGAGTTCCGTCTCATGCGAGGTCTCTTTAAGGGTGAGACGAGTTCTGTGACGACGAGCAAAAAGAAGGGAAGCTCCTCTTCTGCAGCTGCCAATACCATTGCTACTATTACTTCTACGAAAAAGGCCAGTCTCAGTGCTAGCTTATTGAAGAAGATCCCTCCCGAGAAACCGATTACGGATTTGAGGAAGCAGCTGACCAAACAGCCGGAGTACATGGATGAGACAGGTGGGGAACTCCATCCTTATCAACTGGAAGGGTTGAATTGGTTGCGGTTTTCCTATGGTAATAAAGTGGATACCATTCTTGCCGATGAAATGGGCCTGGGAAAAACAATCCAAACTATTGCTTTCCTCTACTCGCTCTACAAAGACGTAAGTTACTTAGTTATTTTACTCATTCTCAGTTTGCTTGAAACTGGTTAATGTTTTTGATATATTGGCAAGATGAAGATAGGGATGATGTTCCTAGGGTTGAATCTGAAGTGGTTCATTTCTAGTACTCAGGACTTTGGGGTTGTTAACATGGCTTCTTGAATGTTGGTACTTAGAAACCAAAAAGAATTTGCATAGTGCCTCTTTTGAAAGGTTCATTACTCAGCGCTCTCGATAGTTAAAACAGTCAGCTAAATTATGTGACCGTCACATTAATACCTGAATGCTTTCCGTTTGATCGCAGAACAAGAACGCAAATGAATTCGATTTACTATGTGAATACTCTTATGGATTTATGGGTTTGAGTGCAACCTTCAATGCCTATACTTTATTTAGGAAGTGATTTTTAAACCTACTCAATCCTATTTGAGCAGGGACTTTGATTCGCTGGAGATTGAAGAGGTCTCTATTTCCACTATGGTCCCCTTGATGTTGACTCCATTTACTATCAAACAGGAATGAGATTTCGAAGTTTTTTCAGTGGACCTGAGTCTGTTCGATAGTCTCCAGGATGCTCTTGGTGGAGTCGTTCCTGTTTGAAAATCTGCATTGAAGGGGGAGAGGGAGGGCAAAAAAGAGTTCTTTAATTATTGGTGGCAATGACCGATCCACAATTCACCTACTTATCAGTTTGCAAAAGTATAAAGGAAGTAGGTTGATTGGCTTGAATGTTAAGATGCAGAGATGCTATTTTAGTACAAATCTAAGCTTCCTCTGTTACAGAACCCGTGACCTAGAATCTGATTCTGCATCGCACTGTGACCTTAACTAGTATGCAAGTATATGATTACAAAAGCCTGTCCGTTTATCTAGATTATAAGTTTCATTGGAACGAAAGTCGACGTGGAAGTAAGGCAACTATCGACTTAGTATGTTTAAAACCATTCACCACTTAATTAAAGTTCATTTTAAGATCAAATATAATGACATGGCAACAATGTTAAGGGGTATTCCTGTTTGCCATAACATTCGACTCCATAAATCATTTCATTTCGTTTGTCGAACTATTATACTTTACTTTTCATTTGCATTTCGTCGATAATTGGGGAGATACCTGGGGGATTGCCAAAACGTATTCACTTAATGCAAATGTTACGAGTTATTTACAATGGATGGTATCGGTGACCTACTAGCAACTCTCTAAACGTAGGTCTCCTATGAAAACGTCTACGTGGATGCAGTCTTTGAAATGGTGACTACTTCGTGCGTATCGTATTCCCTTACTGGCATATGAAAGTGCCTTTTGTGTTAATGAGTACAGTTGTTGAAGCTACTCCCAGTCACTTACGGACTTAGTCACCCTTCCAAGCAAAACAAGGTTTTCTCTGAACAACCCTTCACAAAATCCAATATCTTGCAACCTAGAATATGCTCTGACTAAGGCCAGCTAGACATCATGTTAAAAGATCGGCAAGCATTCGGTTGAATCTGAAGTCTTTTCCTATAGTTCTCTCCATTTAAGAGATCTAACAATCTAATGTGTTCTATAAATTATTCATTTTTGACCCATGAAGGCTATGGAGGAAGGAACAGGTTTCTGTTTTCTGGGCGAATTTATCTATTCATAACCTATAAATCGTCAAAAATCGGCGATTTTAAGACAACGCACTTCATTACTAACCGCATTTGTCAAAGGTTGCAATTCGTTCCGGAAAACAGGCTAGTGTTTTTAAATTAGAAATGATATTGGACTGATTGTTTGAATCGATTGATAAAAGAACTCCTTTGCTATCCACTGTTGGGTCATACGAATTTTGACAGTAAACAGATTCTTAATATTTCCCTTTAACAATTCTCTGGCTTCGATACCCGATCGCCCACAATTTAGTGGTAAGTGTAAGTGTTTACAGGAGCCTTCGCATTGGTAGTTGGAGTAACCATGATCTTCCCGGTTTATCCGTCCAAGCGCTCAGCAGGCACTGAAACGCTCAACACTCACTCCCGTGATCCTCCTTCCAGGGCCACAGCCGAGGTCCCTTCCTGGTAGCCGCCCCTCTCTCCACCATCATCAATTGGGAGCGTGAGTTTGAGTTATGGGCACCTGACTTCTACGTGGTGACTTACGTTGGGGACAAGGACTCTCGGACGGTCATCCGTGAGCACGAGTTCACCTTTGAGGAGGGGGGAGTGCGTGGCGGATCTAGAGTAGTGAAAATGCGCTCGGGCGCTCAGGTCCGCTTTCACGTCCTCCTTACTTCCTATGAACTCATTTCCATTGATCAGGCCCTGCTGTCCTCCATCGACTGGGAGGTACTGGTGGTGGACGAGGCACATCGACTAAAGAACAACCAATCCAAGTTCTTCCGAATGCTCAGCACCTACAAGATCTCTTATAAGCTACTCCTAACTGGAACTCCGCTACAGAACAACTTGGAGGAGCTTTTCCATCTACTTCACTTTATGTCACCAGCGAAGTTTTATGATATGCAAGGCTTTCTGGACGAGTTTGCGGACATTTCAAAGGAGGACCAGGTGAAGAAGCTCCATGAAATGCTCGGAAAACACCTACTTAGACGGCTCAAGGCAGATGTGCTCAAAAATATGCCATCAAAGGGAGAATTTATTGTGCGCGTTGAATTGAGTCCTATGCAGAAGTGAGCTTTATTTTATTGTCTTCACAATGTTCATAGATAGACGTTTGGAATTTCATCATTCATTCATTGTTTTTTTTTTGATACGCTCTATAAGTACCCCCATTTGGGTAAGGAATTTCAGGGCTCCCTTGTTGACGTTGGGGCCATCCCGTTTGTTGATGAAACGTCAGCTCTTAGGTTCGCGTTTTCAGTGTCCGGATATTGGTCAACTCGTTGATTCTGAGACCTTGGAGGAGAACAAGCTAGAATGAATGAAATCTTGTTAATGATGCATTGAGCCCATTGAATAGACCCAACATTTTTGGAATTTCGCTGTCAATGAATTGTCTGCTCCGTTCTGAGAAATATTCCCAGATCATAATTGTTTAAATTTTCTTAAATTTCCATGAAATCTTTATTTTACTTTCGTATTAATCTCGACTGATCTAAGCGGTCACTGGGGCCGGTTTCGATTGCAGGTGACTTTGCGTTAGGTCACGCTGGCATATCGACGGGCGAAAATTTGGGGCACGTTACACTGTTGCAATTCATTCGTATCCTTTGGCGCACAAGTGAATCTACTGTATTTAAGGTGTTATAGTTCGGCAAAGAAAGTCAAAAATTGACTTTAATTGAGAGCTAAGAGCATTATATTTTAGCGCTTTGAACAAGCAGTCTGTAAAGTGACACGGACCACATGTTACATCATTA